GCAACCAACAGAATGGGAAAATATTTTTGCAATGTACCCATTTGACAAAGGGCTAATATCCAGAATCTACAGAGAACTAAAACAGATTTACAAGAAAAAACAAACAAGCCCATTCAAAAGTGGGTGAAGGATATGAACAGATGCTTTATGAAAGAAGACATATATGAGGCCAACAAACACATGAAAAAATGCTCATCATCACTGGTCATTAGAGAAATGCAAATCAAAACTACATTGAGATACCATCTTACACCAGTTAGAATGGCAATCATTAAAAAATCTGGAAACAACAGATGCTGGAGAGGATGTGGAGAAATAGGAACGCTTTTACACTGTTGGTGGGAGTGTAAATTAGTTCAACCATTGTGGAAGACAGTGTGGCGATTCCTCAAGGACCTAGAAACAGAAATTCCATTTGACCCAGCAATCCCATTACTGGGTATATATCCAAAGGATTATAAATTGTTCTACTATAAGGACACATGCAAACAAATGTTCATTGCAGCACTGTTTACAATAGCAAAGACTTGGAACAAACCCAAATGCCCACAGATGATAGACTTGACATGGAAAATGTGGCACATATACACCATGGAATACCATGCAGCCATAAAAAATGATGAGTTCGTGTCCTTTTTAGGGACATGGATGAACCTGGAAAGCATCATTCTCAGCAAACTGACACAAGAACAGAAAATCAAACACTGTATGTTCTCACTCACAGGCAGGTGTTGAACAACGAGAACACATGGACACAGGGAGGGGAGCATCACACACTGGGGTCTGTCGGGGGGAAGGAGGGTAGGGAGAGCGGGGGGTGGGGATTTGGGGAGGGATAACATGGGGAGAAATGCCAGATATAGGTGATGGGGAGGAAGGCAGCAAATCACACCGCCATGTGTGTGCCTATACAACCATCTTGTATGTTGTTCACATGTACCCCAAAAAGAAAAATGCAGTTAAAAAAAAAAAAGAAAATAGACTGGCAAGATACTCTGCATAAATTAAGTTCAACAATGGCAAGCTAGAAAATCAGTGGAATACTAGATTACAAGATAACAAAATTAGACAAGTTAAAAACCTATGCTTTAGAACATAGGTATTTAAAACATGACTTTTCTTAACAATTTCCTCTTACTGGAGCTAAAATACTTTCTCATAGCACTCTTGTAAACAAGAGTGAAATCAGCTCTCAGGTATCATAAGATTCTCTCAAACATAGAGGAGAAAATGCTGGCACTGACAGTCACAAGGAGGCAGGGATATGGGCTGACAGTATGGGGAGGAAGACAAGAATCCAGGGTTGGGTGGTAGATGTTGGCATCTTCTTCTAAAGTGTCATCTCACTCTCTTAATGTCCTTTGTCTTGAAGGCTCAGCTCTCATTTATCAACATATTTACACTTGATGATGATATTATAAATACAGAAAAAGAGAATAATATACCTACCAAGGTCTCTTATAGAAGCTGCAGTTAGCATGGGATCTGAACTCACAAGGATAGCTGAAAATAATAACCTTGGGGTGGGCTCCAAAAATAATTTATTTACAGATGCCAGATACCAAAGAACTAAGATATAATTAACCAAAAACCCGGGAACTGTAATTAAAAGTACCTGCAAAGAAATTTTACAATTAGAAACATTAGACTGCTTTTGTAGTCCATTTTAAGAAGAAGAAACTCAGGATTATTGGAGATAGAGAATCAGCCAGCACCAACAGTACCCACCAGCAGACACAGGAGTGTCATTCTGTGTCAGCTGACTTCCACTTGACCAAAGATGCAGGAGATGGCTTGGCAGAGCTTAGCTGAGGCAACTCAAACCACTTTTAAGTCTATTCCTTTTTATTCCTTCTTTCTGTCATTTGTCTCAACTCCATGTGTCTGGATTTGGTTTAAAAGTATGAATTTTTCTAATAAATTATTTGTTTCTAATGCAGTTTAGGTAATGACCTGTATTTACAAAACTATTTTGATTACTTTGAAAGAAATGTACACCTGCTCATGATTTGGAGTATTTTCTCTTGAGGCCTTTCCCTGATATAGTTCAAATCCCACATATTAAAAAATTTGTTATAGTTTTTAAATTAGAGGTTAGCTGCTTCTGTGTTTTCTTCTCTGCTTTTATTCTCTTAGACATGAATGTAGGAAGCTTTAGAACATAGGTATTTAAAACATGACTTTTCTTAACAATTTCCTCTACTGGAGCTAAAACACTTTCTCATAGCACTCCTGTAGCATTTCAGGGTTAAAATTATATCTGGTATGAAATTATGTGAGTCAGATTTTCAGAATTACTGTTTTTTTTCCATAATTTTCCCCCTGGGTCTTTGATATGCTAGATAATTTTCAAGATTTATTCACTAAATTATGAAGCTGAATTTATTAATTCCATACCCTTTATCCTTTGTTTCCTATTTTGGAAAAAAAATTTAATTTGAACATAGATAATATGTGGTTCATGAATGAATGACATTACCAAAAAAGAATGCTTACCTGCCAAAATAACTTTTGAAACGTGTATATATCCATGTTAAATGCAGCAGTAAAGAAAATTACCGGTATAAATAGACGAAAAAATAAGTCTGGACTCATCCATTGTATGTCTTTTGCGTATCTTTGGACCTAATATTATACAAATATATCATCTTATTTATTCATCTCTCTATTAGAATAGAATACATGCTAGGCACTCCTAAATCTAACAGCAGAAAAAGACAATTTTTAAATGATGCATCACACAAAGGAGTAAGTGATATCAAATTCTAGAAACTACAAATGATTGGCCATGTATTATACAGATGACGTGTGGCAGAATAGGAGGGACAGAGACTGGAAAGTTAATGCAATTCATGCAATAACTAATTAACAATGTTTAACATGAGATATTTAGTTGAAATGTGTAAATCCTATTGTAGGTACCCATTGAACATTCACTTATTACGGAAACACTGAGTACCTACTGTGTTAGTGATAGCTTTGCATTTGGGAGATAATTCTCCATGTGTCTCTTGTGTTTCTCCATGGTTTATGAATGCAGGCATTGATTTTTTTCTTCCAGACTATCTTTTCATGAATGTTGGTATGGCTTAGAAGGCAGAGCAAGTGTCTTCCTCAAGAGAAAAGGACAGGTTTACTTTACTGTCCAGTGGAATAAAGATAATATCTCCCTTGGAGACATTTATTTTATTTAAAGAACACGTATAGTAAGTACACTGACATGGGGGAGAATATGCAGCAGATTTTCAGGCATATAGGATGAAGAAAGAGATTTCAAGTAGGTGGATAATCATGCACAACATTCACAAATGAGTAAGTGATTGTATCAAATTGTAAAAACTACAAATAATTGGCAATGGCTTATACAGAAGATGTGTGTGGAAGAACAGACAAGAATGCAAATGAGCTTACTACCCATTATAGAGGATTCAGGTTCTCTAAGCTTAGATTTCTTCTCCTATGGTTGGATACATAACCCACTGTAGGTGCAGATTTCACCTGGTCCTCTTTGCTTCTCTCTTTGGGATCAGGGTTCAGGAAACAGGCACAAAAAAAATGTTCATACTCTGGTTACTGCTATTGCTGTGGATAATAAAACCTTTTTCCTCTGGTCCAAGAGTCCCATGTCTTTTGCTGGGATCATGAAACTGGCAGGCTAGCTTATTAGCTGGCAAGTAGAGAAAAATCCTGGAAACTTCTTGGGTCTTAACATTGGTATCTTCCTTTGAAGGAGTTGCTGACAAATAGTAAAACTTATAGCAGTACCTCAAATTGCATTTGTGTCAAAATCATATGATGATAAAACCTGTTTATGACATGTAAAATAGTAAACTGCTTCTGGTTCTTACATGAATACAGGTTTTGTATAAAATTTTTAACATGACTGGCTAAATTTGGTTGGGAAAATCAATCATTTCAGGCAAGTTCTCACATCCATTCTGATCCACTAGGGCAGACATTGGCAAATTATGGTCCCTGGGCCAAATCTGCACACTTAACAGACTAGTTTCTCTTCTAACAGGAATCCCGTGAAACAGCCTTAATTGAGGAAATAGATTAGTTCAATATTATAATTCTTTTGCTACTCAAGTCCTGTACCAGCAACACAAAGTCTCCCTGAGCTCCTATGTCATTAGCCATTTTTTCCAAGTTTTAAAAATCTGTTTAACATTCATTGGCCACTAATACTTTCAGTAGCTGTATGTGTACTCATTCGGAATTGACTATGTAGTTTTAGAACTAGGCTTTGTCTTCACTATGTTTAACTGGGTCTCAGCTTTCACAGGCCTGGCTCCTTTTTTTACATCCGATCTGATGCTATCCACATCACAATCATCTATCCACTGGCAGAATAGTGAAGGGATAAATATTTTTTGCAAATTTTAAATGGCATCCCTGAATTTATATGATTCTCAAATAAATAGTGTAAAATACTCATTTACAATACACACCTCATAAGATGTAAAGCTTAGTAGTTCAAAACTGCATCCAAGTAAAAATAATATCACAGAGAGAGGAATTGGAAAGTCTTTCAAGTGCAGGTTCAAAAATGCTGCAAAAAATATGTTGTTACTGAAGGCAACAAAATATCTCATTTATAGAACTTTAATGTGATATGATTTCTTAAAATTGAGTACAATGACCTATTGTTTCACTACTTGTTTTCTCTTTCCATGAGTTTAAAAATCCTTCCTCACACTTATCAGCACACAGAATCAGTGTAATTGTTAATCTACTGGGTTACTGTCTTACCTCTCTTATGATGCATCTCATTCTTATCTCCTCAGAAACTTAATAAACATTGCTAGCAGTTACTGGCTCTTGGGTTACTACTGAAATATTTATAGTAGTTTTGTACACATTATAAATCAGAGATTAGTTTCTTTAGCAATCTTTCAATAAAAGGTTAATAAATCAACTTTAATGAAATCTTCTGGTTCAGGAACACTGAGAAACTAGCCCAATTTAAAAAAAAAAAAAAAAAAAAAAGCTGTGGGATAGTGGGTTTTGCTGCAACTGGTTTATTTTCCTCCTGTTTTCACCTATTCTGGCCCAGTCTGGCACCATTGCCCTTATTGTGATGCTGAGCCTAAAAATGCAAAGCAGAGAGGCAGGGCCAAAATTGAGGCGAATCTGGGAGCCTGCCAATGGGTCTCCAGGTGCTGTCTCTGAAACTGGAGGATATCAGGAGGAAGGGTTCTCCCATATGGAGATAATGGAGAAGCTCTTGGCATGGTTGGCCATAGGTATGTGATACCAGAGGAGTGGGAGTCAAATAGGATATGCTGACTTTTAATTCAAGCTACCCTTTTCTGAAACACTTTGCCACAATGAAGGAAATAAGGAATTATACTCTCAGAGATGTCAGGAAAAGATACATGGATCTTGGAAGATAATTACTCACGATATGCAGGGAAGGAATTAAATTGAAGGGCATTTTTCTTAGAGAATATCATTTGGCATACTTATTTGATCAAGAAGTTGAAGATTTATATAATAAGGGTCTAGTTTGAAGCACTAAGAAGAATAAGTCATCAGTTTGAAAAGAGGCTGTCAGAGCAACATGAATTCTGCTAAAATGGAAGTAAGAAAAAATATCAAATTTATGTTGATGCTGAGGTGGAAGAATGGTGAAATAACTGATGCTTTATGAAAAGTTTATGGGGACAATGCTCCAAGAAATCAGTTTGCAAATGGATAACTCGTTTTAAGAAGGGACAAGGTAATGTTGAAGAAGCAGCCCACAGTGGCAGATCATCCACATCAGTTTGTGAGAAAAAAATTAATCTAGTTCATGGCCTAAGTGAAGAAAACCAACAATTAACAGCAGAAATCACAGTGAACACCATAGACATCTCAGTTGGCTCACCTTACGCAATCTGACTGGAAAAGTTCAGCAAACTTTACACCTGATAGGTACCAAAACCATTGCACCCAGATTAGCTACAGACAAGAGCTGAGCTTTCAATGGAAATGTTTAATAAGTGGGATCATGATCTTGAAGCACTTCATTGAAAAACTGTAACAGGAGATGAAACATGGCTTTATCAGTGCAATCCTGAAGATGATGCACAATTAAAGCAATGGTTACCAAGATATAGAAGTAGTTCAGTAAAAGCACAAGTGGACTGGATGAGAGCAGAAGCCATGGCAACAGCTTTTGGATGCTCAAAGCATTTTCCTTGTTGACTTTCTGTAGGGCCAGAGAATGGTAATATCTGCTTATTATGAGAATGTTTTGAGAAACTTAGCCAAAGCTTTAGCTGAACAATGCCTGAGAAAGCTTCACAAGAGAGTTCTTCACCACAACAATGTTCCTGCTCATCACTCTCAACAAACAGGGCAATTTTGCAAGAGTTTTGATGGAAATCACTAGGCAACCATCCTACAGTCCTAGTTTGGCACCTTCTGACTTTTTGTTTCCTAATCTTAAAAAAAAAAAAAAAAAAAAAAGCAGTACATTTTTGTTCAGTTAATAATGTTAAAACAAAAACAAAAACAAAAACAAAAACAAAAACAAAAACAAAAAAAAAACTGCACTGACATGGTTAAATGCCCAGAACTTTCAGTTCTTTAGGGATAGAGAGCAGGTATCATCACTTACAAAAGTGTCTTGAACTCAATAGAGCTAATGTTCAGAAATATAGTTTATATTTTTATCTTTTAATTCCATTTTCCACAAACTTTTTGAAGTCTCCTTGAATATGCACCCTTTATAGAGGGGAAAAATTTGTGTGACTATTCATGTTGACTTAAATTAGTGCTGACAATTTTCTATTTTGTAAACACAAACAAGCATAAAAGTTGATACAAATTTTGTTTAGAGCCTTTACCAAACAAATTTATGAAATAAATGCATTAGGAAATAAACTAAAACAACCTTAGTGGAATAGATGCTACCGTTTTACTGAGGTGTAAACATTGTTCTGGCTGCTATGGAAAAAGTTACATAAACAGTCATGTGCCTTGTGATGACTGTTTTGTCTGCAACTTCACTCTTTGCAGACCTCAATACTACTGAAATGAGGAGAGGGGATTTAAATTCCCAAAATAGTGTCAACTGGGCATGGAGGCTCATGCCTGTGATCCTTGCACTTTTGAGTGGCCAAAGCAGAAGGATCCCTTGAGGGCGGGAGTTCCAGACCAGTCTAGGTAACAAAATGAGATCATGTCTCTACAAAAAATAAAATAATTAACTGGGCATGGTGATGTGTGCTTGTGGCCCTAGCTGCTTGGGAGGCTAAGGCAGGAGAATCACATGCACCCCAGATATTGAAGCTGCAGTGAGCTGTGATCATTGCCACCACAGTTATAGCCTGAGCAACAGAGCAAAACCCTGTCTCTAAAAAAAACTAGAATGTCTTTGTGCTATGGAAATCCTAATTTGAAGAATTCTGCATTAAATTATCTCCAAACATTCTTCTAACTCCAGGGAGAAGTTCAGTTTTTGTTTGATTCAGGATTAGGCTTAGATAGTAGTTAACGAAATTGGATTAAAAGTTAACTGTTTTGTGAACTAATAAGGAGTATTTTTCTTTTTAAAAAATAGGCAGTCCTTGCTTTGCACAGTTCCAATATACATAAATATCAGTTACCACAGTTAAGTTAAATAAAATCAGTCCAACAATGTGGTTAATATTTCAATTACCACATTATTGAAAAAAATTTCCATGAATTTTGCTGCCAGGTCTTTAGTTGGCAAATCACTGTGCAATTAAAAAAAAAAAAAAAAAAGATAATGAGAGGCAAGATGGCTGAATATGAGCAGCTCTGGATTGCAGCTCCCAGCGAGAGCAGAGGGTGAGTGGATGCCAAATTTTTTATTGCCCACAGACCAGGAAATTCGTAGGCAGAGGGACCCCATGGGTCACCAGTGCGGCCGTATTGGCCTGTGTGGCAGGTCTCCTTACAAAATACATGGGTCTGGGCATCGTTTTAGCTGGCAATTGGAGTGCCTGGGAGACAGAGTCGCCCATTCAACTGAAAAAAAGGAGATTGAAACAGGGAGCCAGGCAAGGAGATTCCTGGGCAAAAAGCGCCACGAACCCCCAGTGTGGCTGTTTCAGCCGGCACAGTGAGTCTCTGCACAAAGTCTCACACAAATCCAGGCGCCTTTTCAACTGGGGACTGGAATGCCTGGGAGACAGAGTTGCCCATGCAACTAAATAAAACGGGACTGAAACGGAGCTAGGCCAGGAGATTCCCCAGCAAAAAAGCACCACGAAACTCCAGCGGCTGTTTCAGCTGGTGCAGTGGGGCTACACACAAGAAATCACACATATCTGGGTGCCGTTTAAACTGGTGACTGGGATGCCTGAGAGACAGTCACCCTTTCGACTGGAAAAAAAAAAAAAAAAAAAAAAGGGGGTCTGAGGCAGGGAGCCAGGTGATCGGGCTCGGCCAGTCCCACCCTGACAAAAAACAGCAAGCTGAAATGCTCTGGATTGAGAGTTTCACAGCAAGCACAGCTGAACCTGGGATGGTCTAGCTATGTGGGGGAGGAGAGTCTGCCTTACAGAGGCAGTCAAACACTACCAAGGTAGTTTGCCCTTCCTGAGGCAGCACACCATTGCCAAGGCAGTCCACCATTACAGAGATAGTCTGCCATTACAGAGGTGGGCCGCCATTGCCGAAGCAGTTATAACTATACCCCTATTAATAGGACTACAGAGAAGTTCACACGGCACCTGGGCGGAGCCCACAAAAGCTCAGCAAAGCCTCTGGTGGCAGACTGTGAGTAGGCTGCCTCATCGCTGGACAGGGCAGCCCTGAAAAAGGCAACAGCACAACAGAAACTTATAAATAAAGCCCTACATCCCTGGAACAGAGCACCAGGGGGGGAAAAAAAAAAAAGGTGTTTATGAGTTCTGCTGCAGCAGACTTAAACGTACCTGCCCAGCAGCTCTGAATGGAACAACGGAGCTCACAGTTCAGCACTTGAGCTCCTATAAAAGACAGACTGTCTCCTCAAGCAGCTCCCTGACCCCCCATATATCCAAAGAGATACCTCATAAAGGAGAGCTCAGGCTGGCATCTCGCAGGTATCCTTCTGGGACAAATAGAGCAGAAGAAGAAACTGGCAGCAACCCTTACTGTTCTGCAGCCACTGCAGGTGATCCCCAGGCAAGCAGGGCCTGCAGTGGACCTCAGCAGTCCTACAGCAGAGGGGCCTGACTGTTAGAAGGAAAACTAGGAAACAGAAAGAAATAACTTCATCCTCAACAAACTGTACAACCACTCAGAGACCCCATCTGAAAGTCAACAACTACAAAGAACACAGGAAGATAAATCCACAAAGATGAGAAGAAACCAGTGCAAAAGGGATGAAAACACCCAAAACCAGAATGCCTCTCCTCCTCCAAGGGATCACAACTACTCACCAGCGAGGGAACAAGGCTGGATGGAGAATGAGTCTAATGAATTGACAGAAACAGGCTTCAGAAGGTGGGTAATAAGAAGCTTTCATGTGCAACAGCACATGAAAAAGCTTATCACCATGATCCAGTAGACTTCACCCTGTGGATGCAAGGCTGGTTCAACGTACGCAAGTCTATAAACGTAATTCACCACATAAACAGAACCAAAGACAAAAACCACATGATTATCTCAAAAGATTCAGAGAAGGCCTTTGACAAAATTCAACAGCCTTTTATGCTGAAAACTCTCAATACACTAGACATTGATGGCATGTATCTCGAAATAACAAAAGCTATTTATGACAAACCCACTGCCAATGTCATACTGAATGGGCAAAAACTGGAAGCATTCCCTTCAAAATCTGGCACTAGACAAGGATGCCCTCTCTCACCACTCCTATTCAATATAGTATTGGAAGTTCTAGCCAGAGCAATCAGGCAAGGAAAAGAAAGAAAGGGTCTTCAATTAGGAAAGGAGGAAGTCAAACTGTCTCTATTTGCAGATGACATGATTGTATATTTAGAAGACCCCATTGTCTCAGCCCAAAATCTCCTGAAACTGATGAGCAACTTCAGCAAAGTCTGAGGATACAAAATCAATGTGCAAAAATTACAAGCATTCCTATACACCAATAACAGACTTAAAGAGAGCCAAATCAAGAATGAACTGCCATTGACAATTGCTACAAAGAGAATAAAATACCTAGGAATACAACTAACAAGGAATGTAAAGGACCACTTCAAGGAGAACTACAAACCACTCCTCAATGAAATAAGAGAGGACACAAACAGATGGATAAACATTCAATGCTCATGGTTAGGAAGAATTAGTATCATGAAACTGGCCATACTGCCCAAAGTAATTTACAGATTCAACGCTGTCCCCATCAAGCTACCATTGACCTTCTTCACAGAACTGGAAAAAATCACCTTAAACTTCACATGGAACCAAAAGAGAGTCCATATATATATATATATATATATACACACACACACACATATATATATACACACACACATATATATATACACACATATATATATGTATATATACATATACACACATATATATATACACACATATATATATGTATATATACATATACACACATATATATATACATATATAAAATTGCATTTTAGGTTTTGGGGTACATGTGAAGTACGTGCAGGATTGTTGATAGGTACACACGTGGCAGTGTGATTTGCTGCCTTCCTCCCCATCACCTATATCTGGCATTTCTCCCCATGCTATCTCTCCCCAACTCCCCACTCCCTACTGTCCCTTCCCTATTTCCCCCGACAGACCCCAGTGTGTGATGCTCCCCTCCCTGTGTCCATGTGTTCTCATTGTTCAACACCCACCTATGAGTGAGAACATGTAGTGTTTGATATTGTTCTTGTGTCAGTTTGCTGAGAATGATGCTTTCCAGTTTCATCCATGTCCCTACAAAGGACATGAACTCATCGTTTTTGATGGCTGCATAATATTCCATGGTGTATATGTGCCACATTTTCCCTGTCCAGTCTATCATCAATGGGCAT